GTCCTACTGTTTGTAATTTCAATTCCAGGGGATCCTTTGCAGACACTAGGCTTGCACGTGGTGCCCAGGTATATATGTATGTACACAAAAACAAATAGTATAAAAATAAATAACAAACAAATACACCGAGAAGAAAGGGCACTTTGGTTATACCCATGGCTGCAGCATGCTTAGTAGATACTGTGCCTCTAGAACAAGGGAATGGGAAGGTCCATATGCTCTAATGTTCTGTTTTGAGTGGACTTTGAATCTGTGGACCTCTTGCCTCAGCCTCCTGGGTGCTAGGATTACAGGCATGCACCATGGCACCTGGCTTATGATATACCCTTCTTGGCCATCAGGAAATGCTGGTAAACAGGGTTCTGTTTCAGTAGATCCCTGATAATTATCTCCTTTTCAGAGTATCTTCTTTAGTGCCTACCCACTATTGTTTTCACATCCCGGATCTTGTCACAAGTGGACAGGGAAGCCTGGTGGTCAGAAATGTTTTTTGGAGTGAGACAGACCTGGTTTCAAATTCTTACCTAAACCTGCTTGACATTAAGCAAGTTTATCTTTTTAATTAATTTTATTTTATGTGCATTGGTGTTTTGCCTGCATGTGTGTTTGTGTAAGAGTGTTGGATTCCTGGTACTGGAGTCACAGACATTTGTGAGCTGCCATGTGGGTGCTGGAATTGAACCCTTGTCCTCTGGAAGAGCAACTGGTGCATCTCTCCAGCCCTGCAAGTTTATCTTTTTTTTTTAATTCTGAGACAGGGTTTCTCTGTGTAGTTTTGGTGCCTGTCCTGGATCTCACTCTGTAGCCCAGGCTGGCCTCGAACTCACAGAGATCCGCCTGCCTCTGCCTCCCGAGTGCTGGGATTAAAGTTATGCACCACCACCACTGGGAGCAAGTTTATCTTTTTAAGACTGTTTTTTCATCTGTAAAATGGGCAAATTGCTCACATTCCACAGGGTTGTTGTTTTTGTTTTTTTTTTGTTTTTTTACCATATGTGGTGCTCCTGGTATGGGTGACGGTGGTAGCTGTTGGTGGGACTTCAGTGCTATTTTAAATGGAAGTGCCTGTCCTTGACTGTTTCACTCACCCATTCTCCAGCTTACTCAATCTGTTCTGCAACCTCGGGTGCCCTGAGTCTAAGAAACTTTCTCTTTGTGAACTAGGAGAGCTGTCTGTGACCTTGGGACACACACTCTTCCAAACCTGTGTGATGACAGTCTCCCCAGGCACCAGCAAATCCCTGAGTCAAGGAGGGTGGGGTCTGTCATGGGGGTTGGAGACTGGGCCAAGAAGTGAGATAAAGAGAAAGGGTGGGCAGAGGCAGGAGTCCCGGCCTCTCCGAAGGTGATGTTTATGTGGCTTACTTAAGGTGACATTTTAGAGTAAGTGGTCACTAAAACCAGTTTCCAGTGCTCAGGGTTGGGTTGGCCTTTAATTAATAATTTACAACATGTTTTGTCACAGTCATAATTTAGGTTGATGCTTTCCACATCGTGGGAAGGAGGAAGGCATTTGTTACAGAGAAGAGCTGTAGATTGAATGACTCATCTGAGGTCAAGCACATAAGCAGAGACAGCAGACTGACTGACAGACTGGTATCTCCTCCCCCGCTGCATCCTGCAGCAGGGGGACCCACCCCAGTCCCAAACTTCTGTGATTCAGACACCAGGCTTCACCGCCACTTCTCAAAATATTCCTTTCAGAGTGGGAGACATAGCTTTCTTCCTTGGCTCTAACCTCAGAGAGCCTTTTCCTCACCACCTGCCAGGCAGTTTCGATCTCCAGCTGCACCTGACCTTGTGTGTCTATTTATGGCTTTGTTGTCTCTCCTAGCCCCGTTAGTATGTAACCCTCACGGCACAGGGGCTTTCTCACTCTCCTTCCTGTGTACCGTCACGGTTTTTGAGCTTTGTACATACTAGGTGTTTGCTTGTTGTATATTTATTATTAGAATGAGCAAGTCCTTTTCATTGGTCAGAAGCTGTGAGAATGTGACCTCAGAGCATGGTGGCATCTTTACTTCTCCTCCTTTCCCTCCTCCCGTAGCCTGCCAAGAGGCCAAGGGAAGAGGAGAGAAAGAATGTCCTGGAGGAACCAGCCCTGGTCCTCTGCATCTGCACTGTGGGGAGCTCCCTGGTGCCCTCAGCCAGTAGTTAAGACTGAATCTCTGTTGTGTGCCTAGTCTCTGCCTAGCTGGGTACTGAGACTGTTGAAGGCAGTGGAGCACACTGGCTAAAGCCTAGACACCGAACACTGAATGAAGAGACCGCTCTGCCTCACCCATTTTGTGTCGTGACCTCGGTATCTAGTTTCCTAGCTTTCCTCGTCTCAGTCTCCTCCTCTCTGTAAAATGGAGATGACATCATGGGGTGTAGTGGGAATGCACTACAACCCATATGAAATCTGTAGTGTAGACCAAGCGCATGCTGAATGCTCCGTTTAAGCTCACTGGTAGTGTGTAATTCATGTCAGGTGTCTCTAGCTGGATTCTTAGGTCTGCTACCTACCTCTGTGTCCCTCATGCTCCCCTTCAGAGACATAACCTTGATGGGGAGGAGCTCTGAGGAAAGGGCCAGTGGAAAGCCAGGAGGTCTGGGTGGAGTTCAGCAGCGATTTAGCTGTTCATTACAGAGGGCAGACACTTTGGTGTGAGCTTTTTGTTTGATTGCTTTGGTTTTGGATGAAATTTTTCATTGGCTTGTTTGCTCTGGTGATTTCCACTGGGAAAATCATTCAGAGGGAGTAGGTGTTACATTGGGAGCTGGCCCATTCCAGTTTCTTCAGCAAAATAGCTCTGATGTGTGAGGCTAGATTGGGTTTGTGGTAAAGAGCAGCATCTTACTGGATGTGGCTGAGTCTTTCAGGCTGATCCAAGGGATTAGAACAAGGGGACTCTCTGATGTTAGATCTTTATAGAAAGCAATACAGACAGTTGGAACTTTTTAGTATTTTGAGATGGGGTCTCACCAAATTGCCCAGGCTGGCCTTGAACTTGCAGTTCTCCAACCTCAGTATCTTTGCAGCTAGCAGTTTCTCCCTCTGTTTTAAAGAGAGAAACGTGGGAAATCATAACAAACATATCACAGCTGTGGTCAAGTAAAAAAAAAAACTAGACTACGAGTTGTACAACTCCTGAAATCCAAGAGACTCAGGAGGCTGAGGCAGGAGGATTGTAAGTTCAAAGCCAGCCTGGGCTATTTAGTGAGACCTTATCTTAAAGTACAAAGATAAAAAGGGCTGAGGATGTTAGCTATGGCTTGTTCTGCTCCAGGCCCTGGAATCAATTCTCTAAGTGCCACCAAAAACATAAAAGGATCCGGGTGGTGGTGGCGTCCGCGCCTTTAATCCCAGCACTCAGAGGCAGGTGGATCTCTGTGAGTTCGAGTTCCAGGATAGACTCCAAAGCTACACAGAGAAACCCTGTCTCAAAAAACAAACAAACAAACAAACAAACAAAACAAACAAACAAAAAACCATAATAAGATGTAAAGTCTCCAGCAGTGAGAAAGAGAACGGTTGCCCTGGTCTCCAGGTAAATGCTCTTTCATGGCTTAAAATGTTCATAGGAAGCCGGGCGGTGGTGGCGCACGCCTTTAATCCCAGCACTCGGGAGGCAGAGCCAGGTGGATCTCTGTGAGTTCGAGGCCAACCTGGGCTACCAAGTGAGTTCCAGGAAAGGCGCAAAGCTACACAGAGAAACCCTGCCTTGAAAAACCAAAAAAAAAAAAAAAAAAAATGTTCATAGGGCTAACAGTTTGGAACATTTGTCTATTAACATAGGATTTTGGCTTCTATTATTGAAGCTCTAGATGAAGCGATTATTAATAGTGTTCTGTTATTAAGTAAAACTCAGGAGTCAGATATTGGAGTCAAAACCTGATAGATGCAAAGAGCAATGGAGGACTAATCAGCTGACCCTACCTCTCCACACTTGCAAATCAAAAAGACCCTTGAGTATGTCTAAGCCCCTCTCTATTCCTTCCTGTGTGTCTCTCTCTCTATCCTAATCTGGGTCTGCCAAAAACTCTATGGTTAATTCTGGCCTTCTGATTCAAGGTTTAACTTTATTGTCAGTCTCAGGAATGTCAGTGTGATGAAAATATCCCACAACATATTATTATTGTTTTGAAGTAGGGGCTTACTCCATAGCCAAGGCTGGCTTCTAGTTCTCTTTGTAGACCAGGCTGGTCTTGAACTCATGATGCACCTAAATAGCCTCCCAAGTGCTAGAATTACCTGTATGCATCATCATCATCATCTGGCAAATTTATTGTTTGAAAGAAATGAATTTCCGTGTAGACATGGTGGCACACGCCTTTAATCCCAGCACTTGGGAAGCAGAGGCAGGCGGGTCTCTTTGAGTTTGAGGCAGCCTGGTGTACATAGTGTATTCCAGGACAGCCAGAGCTGTGTGCATTATTAACCATCCAACCAGCCACTGATGTGTGTGTAGGGTTAGTGGTTTTCTGCCCTGCTGATAGGATTGTCTCCTATGTTTTGCTGACTCCTAGAAGACTTGTCTGTCGGCTTTGTTTTGTAAGACTATGGACCGACAGACACTCTATTCAAAACGATATTAGCACAGCACAAAAACAACCAGTCTCTTTGGGTCCATTTCCAGGGCAGTGTTTGCTTCTAGGTGAAACCAACCTTGCAGATTTTCAGTCACATGCCATGACTTTTTCCTTTGCATTCTGAACCCTCCATGACCATAATTGAGATTATGGATGGCTCTGGCCCAGCAGGAACTCAAAAGACAGAGTCTAGACAGAAGTGAGGACAGGTGGCAGGAAGTTGGAAGACCCATTTGTGCCTGGGCCTACTGCTTGCTTTGAAATGTTTTGACTTTAAACTTCTAGTACCAAGGCCTAAGAGGCAGGGGGACTTTTTAGCATTGCATGCTGTTATGATTCCAAATCTGTTGACAGTTGAGAATTTATTGCACTAATCCATGAGCAACCCACAACCTAAAATCCCCTGGCTCTTTTTGTTTTCACAGGTGTTGGGGCGATGCTTTTTGACAGTGTTGCAAGTCCATTTCCAGTTTTTGACTCACGCCTTGCAGAAAGTCCAGCCCGTGGCTCACTCTTGCTTTGCCGAGGTAGTTGTGCCAGAAAAAAAGAACAGCAGCAGTCTGTCTGGCGTGGGCCACACACCCGAACTGGAGGAAGCTGTGCGATCCTGGCGGGGGGCTGCTGAGGTAACTGACCTGGGAGATCTGGCTGGGTTCCAGTGGAAGAGGCTGCAGGGCTTCTCGTCTGTTGGCTCTCAGGAGAGCCACTTGCTTTAGACATTGAGTTAGAAACATCCCTCGCTTGCTTTTTTCCTGTGATAGCAGATGTCTTTAAGAGCATCTACTTTGAGCTGTTGGTGGTGTACACCTGTAATCCCAGCACTCAGGAGGCAGAGGCGGGTGGATCTCTGTGAGTTTGAGGCCAATCTGGTCTACAGAGTGAGTTCCAGGACAGCTAGAGCTGTTACACAGAGAAACTCATCTCAAAAAACAAAAAAAGAATGTCTGCTTTGTGTCAGGCCTCTGCTAGGCACTAAAACAATACCTATAGAGAAAGACTCACAAAAACAGGGTACAAAGGGTGTAGGAGTTGTCCAGACCAAGAGGTAAAGCCCTGCTTCTGAGTGGGAGTGGTACAGGAAACTCCAGAGATGTGAGCCAGGGGAGAAGGCTGGCACCTAAGTCAGGAATGACACAGTGGAACTAGCTTGGTAGGCAGCCAGGTAGGCGGAGTAACAGGATTGTCTGGCAAGGTGAACCTCACAAACACTGGGGTTGCAGGAATGTGCCACAGCTGGCTAGTGTGGTGCTAGGGTTGGAACCTCGGGCTTCGTGCGTGCTAAGTAAGCACTCCACAAATGGAACTACTTCCTCAGCACTGTTGGGGTGTTTTGTTTTGTTGTTCTTGTCATTTGTTTGTTTGTTTGTTTGTTTGTTTGAGACAGGGTTTCTCTGTGTTGCCCTGGATGTCTTGGAACTTGCTCTGTAGATCATGCTGGCCTTAAACTTAGAGATCCACTTGCCTCTGCTTCCTGAGTGCTGGGATTAAAGGTGTACACGACCAGTGCCAGGCTATTGTTTTTATTTTCAAGATTTATTTTAAGTTGTGTGTGTGGGGAGGCATGTGCATGAGGTTGCAGAAATCTGGAGGCAGCAAATCACCTGAAGCTGCTTAGTGTCGATGCTAGGAGCTGCATTCAGGTCCTCTGCAAGGGCAGTGCATACTTTTAGTCTCTGAGCCATCTCTAGCCCCTTGTTGTCTTCTGAGATAAATTCTCACTCTGCAGCCCAGACTGGCCTCTAACTCATGGCAGTTTCTCCTTGGCCCTCCAACTGCTGAGATTACAAGCTTGAACTGCTTCTGTAGCCATCTTGTTCTCTGAGGAGTGTTTGGAAGCTTTGTAATTTTTGCAGTGCAACCATGAGGACTGGAGTTTGGATTCTGGTACCCACGTAAGAAGACAGACATGGTCCCATGCATACCTCTAACACCATCTGAGTGGGGTGGAGACAGGAGGATCATTGGAGTTTGCTGACTGTCCGCATAGCCAACAGCATCCTTAAAAACCCAAATGATGTTCAGGTTCAGGGAGAGACTCTGCTGCAAAGGAATATGGTAGTGAATGAGCGACAGAGGAAGACACCTGGTGCTACCTCTACCTCTACCTCCTGGGAGTATATCCTTTCAAACACATAAATTAAAAGCTTGTACAAAGATTCTTTTTTTTTTTGTTTGTTTTGAGACAGGGTTTCTCTGTGTAGCCCTGCCTGCCCTGGAGCGTGCTCTATAGATCAGGCTGGTCTTAAACTCACAGAGATCTGCCTGCCTCTGCCTCCCACGTACTGGGATTAAAGACGTGCATCACAACTGCCCAGTTCTGTAAAAAGATTCTTAAGTTATCCGGACCCAGAAAGACAAACACAGCATATTTTCTCGGGTATGCAGAACCTAGATTTAAGTTTCTGTAGATGTGTATATGGTCTCTGTGTGTGTTTGTGTGATGAAAGGAGGCCATGAAAGAGAAGGAAGAGATCTTGGGCAGAAGGAAAGAAGAAGAAGATCACACAATACATGTGACCTGAAAACCAAAAGAGGCGTACCAAGGGGGACGTAGCCGGGTGCAGAGCAGGAGAGGACAGTGATAGAGAGGGTGGATTAGGACAAAGGGTGGTGGCAGATGCATGGAAGTGCTGTAGTGAAGCCCATTCATGTACATGCCAACTCTAAGACCTCAGAGAAGTAAATAGAAAAAGATGCTTCTAGACCCTCATTCATCAGTTGCTTTGCATGCGATTCGAGCCGTTTTCCTATTAATGTATTTGACACATGAAGTCTGTCATTCTTTGAAGATCAGCTGCTTCCCAGCACAGCTTCACTAGTGGATAGAGAAGCATGAGTGGGATGGAAATGCATGGTGATCAGATAGGGGGAGGGATGTGACAGTGTGCAGTGAGCATTCTCCTTGGGGGACTTCTGATTCCCACCCAGCCTTGTTGCTGAGAACCTGCTGTAGAAGTGGCTATCCCTAAGCCTTTTCGTGGGACATCCTGCCTAGTATACAATTCCTTCTCTGGCCATTCTACCATGAGAGTCTCTAGTCCAGTGGTTCTTAGCCTGTAGTTCGTGACCCATTTGTGTGTGTGTGTAGGGGTCAAATGACCCTTTCACAGGGGTCACCTAAGACCATTGGAAAACACAGACATTACAATTCATAACAGTAGCAAATGACAGTTATGAAGTAGCAATGAAATAATTTTATGGTGGGGGGTCACCACAACATGAGGAACCGTATTAAAGGGTCACAGCATTAGGAAGGTTGAGAACCACTGGTCTCGTCCTTTTCCATACCCAGAACTTAAACTTGAATGTAAACAAATCAGAAGTAGTTCTTGGGCTGGTAAGGTGACTCAGTGGGTGAAGGTGCTTGCCATCAAGCCTCAGTACCCAACTTGCATGAGTGTAGGTCCACATGCATGCACACACACGCACACACATACATAGACAAAGTTAAAGAAATTGCTCTTTGTAAACTCATGCCTCTATCTCTCCCCCTCCTCTCTTCCCCCTACCCCATTCCCTCTCTCTCTCACTTTTTTTGAGGTAGGATCTTGCTGTATAGCCCAATTAGGCCTCAAACTCCCAATGCTTCTGCCTCAGCCTCCCAGTTGTTGAGTTATAGGTGCCTATCACCATGCCCCACTTACTTACCTTTTTAAATGTGTTCGGGTGTTTGCCTTCATATATGTTAGCTCACCATGTATGTGCAGTCTGTATAAGAAGGGTTACCAGAAGAGGGCTTAAATTCCCCTGGAACTGAAGTTACAGATGGTTGTGAGCTGTCATGTGGGTGCTGAGGATTGAACTTGGGTCCTCTGGAAGAGCAGCCACCTCTTCATCCTTGGTTTGTATTTTGAATCAGGGTCCTCATCAGTGACAGCATGTGTATTGTAAACATTTTACATGTACATGCAAGTGTGTATGAACTTTTGATCTGAAAATATCCATTACATTGGAAAACCTGGAGAGTACCGATGCCTCAGCTGAGAGGCCAAGACTGTGCGCTGTCAGTGCCCTGCGTGAGGCAGGAGGCAAAGGCAGTTTCTAGTTCCCCAGTAAAAGCAGTGCCCAGAGCTGCTGTAGTTGCTCTCCTTCATCGGCCGGATCCCAGGCTTCATACAGACCTGGTCTGGGCTGCAGACTCCTTGAAATCAGGCCCACAGCTCACAGTGGTGTTGACACAGCAGGAGTCGGCCTCAGCCCTTGACCTCACACTCTTTCAATCTGGGCTGTTAGTAGCCCCTGCACTTAGAACTATCTTGCATACCATCCAGGCTTTAGGCCATTTGGTGGTTTTTTAGAGTAATTCTGTAACTGTTTCTGAAGTTTTTATTAAGCTGATAATGCCTTATCTCTAAACATCTTTAACTTATAAAAGGCCACAGCCCTTTATAAGCAGGAGAGACAGGAAGATGGCAATTGTGGTCACAAGACAGGAGTTCTCTTGCAGGCTCATAGCAGCCCACAAAGGCCGCACTGAAAAGAGGAAGGCACGCACTGCAGCGGTGACTGTAGGGGCCGCACTCCAGGAGTGGGCCCACAGTTATGGTCTGACCAAATAAGCTGGACTGTGACAGTCAGCACCACCGCACAAGTCCAAGGCCATCGAGGAGCGGGGAACAAAGCCTTGAAGCTGGGTGCTCCTTTCCTGCTACATTTCAGTGGTTCTCTTTCATGCTGACACCCCTTTTTCCAGTGAGAGAAAGGAAAAGCAAACCCTCAAAGTCACTGTTGTATTTTGTAGAATACAAGGTCACTTATGGTTAAGGAATAGTATGTTGATTTCTTAAATGATGTCTCATTTGGATCACCCCACAGTTAAGTTGCAGTGTACTACATTTTGTTATAGGATTTTTTTTTTCTTTCTAGTTTTTCAAGACAGGGTAGCCCTGGCTGTCCTGGAACTCGCTCTGTAGACCAGGCTGGCCTTGAACTCACAGAGATCCGCCTGCCTCTACCTCCCGAGTGCTGGGATTAAAGGTATTTGCCGCCACCGCCCGGCTTGTTATAGGATCTTATAGGACCTGTAGCCAGGCATGGTGGCAAACACCTGTATCACAGCACTTGGGAGCTGAAGCAGGATTAGGACCTCGAGGTCATCCTTGCTTACATAGTGAGTTCAAGGCCATCTTGGGGTATGTGAGGGTACCCTGTCTCAAGACCAAACCAAACTGAACTGATCTTCTGTCTTCCATTGAGTCACACCGGGCTGTTTCGTAGCACTGTGCCGTTCTGATGTTGTGATACTTGGTGTGCCGTCATCTGCTCTTTCCTGCTCTTGTTTGACTTCCTCGGTCATGTCACAGGCTTTCCCAGGGGGACCCTCAGTGCCAGCTCGCTCTCTCTCCACTGCTGGTGTCTCTCTCTCTCTCTCTCCACTGCTGGTGTCTCTCTCTCCACTGCTGGTGTCTCTCTCTCCACTGCTGGTGTCTCTCTCTCTCCACTGCTGGTGTCTCTCTCTCTCCACTGCTGGTGTCTCTGTCTCTCTCCACTGCTGGTGTCTCTCTCCACTGCTGGTGTCTCTCTCTCCACTGCTGGTGTCTCTCTCTCTCTCCACTGCTGGTGTCTCTCTCTCTCCACTGCTGGTGTCTCTCTCTCTCTCCACTGCTGGTGTCTCTCTCTCTCCACTGCTGGTGTCTCTCTCTCTCCACTGCTGGTGTCTCTCTCTCTCCACTGCTGGTGTCTCTCTCTCTCTCCACTGCTGGTGTCTCTCTCTCTCCACTGCTGGTGTCTCTCTCTCTCCACTGCTGGTGTCTCTCTCTCTCCACTGCTGGTGTCTCTCTCTCCACTGCTGGTGTCTCTCTCTCTCTCCACTGCTGGTGTCTCTCTCTCCACTGCTGGTGTCTCTCTCTCTCCACTGCTGGTGTCTCTCTCTCCACTGCTGGTGTCTCTCTCTCTCCACTGCTGGTGTCTCTCTCCACTGCTGGTGTCTCTCTCTCTCTCCACTGCTGGTGTCTCTCTCCACTGCTGGTGTCTCTCTCTCTCTCCACTGCTGGTGTCTCTCTCTCCACTGCTGGTGTCTCTCTCCACTGCTGGTGTCTCTCTCTCTCTACTGCTGGTGTCTCTCTCTCTCTCTACTGCTGGTGTGGGTTCAGACCTTTGTCTCTCATCTGGCTTCACAGCCTTCTGTCGTTAGAGTATCTGGGCGCCAGCCTCCTGAATATTCCTTTTACATCCTAAAACCTCAGTGCCACCTCACTGATCTCCCTGCCTGCTTCTGTGTGTCATTGGCCTCTGTCTCCTGCTTCCTGCTGGTGCCCCTTAGCCACACTGCACTGTGAAAATGGAACCCTGATGCAGTCTTTCTTCTTGCATGGCCAGAACAGTACCACTCCTCCAGCTCACCTCCAGCTCTTTTCCTTCCCTTTCATGACAACAGAGGAGGTGCCCTATTCGCAGGTTCAGGGCTTACTTTGGCAGCACCTTATTCCCATCCTCAAGGACCTGGCTTCTGCCGTGGGACCCAAAGTTTTCTCTCAACACTAATGTGCTTCCAACACAAAAGCCTACCTGTTTCTCTGCCTGTTTCTCTACCTGTTTCTCTACCCCTTTGACAGCCCAACTTTTTGGAGAAGTTGTCTTTTCCTCCCCTTTCTCATTCACTCTGAAAACCATATATTCTCTGGTTTCTTCTCAACCACATAAATCATGAAGTACTGTAAGCACATAAAACATGTTTTTTGTTATTAGCGAGATGGCACGGCAGGTAGAAGCAGTTGCCACAGAAACCTGAGAGCCTAAGTTCTGTCCCTTAGAATGCAGTCAGAGGAGAGAACCGATGCCCAAGAAGTTGCCCTCCTGTCTCTACATACACAGGGTGGCACACATGTGCCCAGTCCTAGACACACACTAAATAAATATATGGAGCATTTGGAGTTAACGTTCAGGAAAAGGTTGCCTGCTTTGTTTGCTCTCAGCTGCCCTTCCTTCATCTGCTTTGCTGGCCTCTCTTGAGTACAGCTTCTGAGGGTGAGTTTCTCATGGGTCAGGGTTAGGTTTCTTTTTCCCTGGGGGTCTCTGCCCAGTGTTGGGACTTAGACCACTCCTCTGCAGAGGGATGCTTCAAATGTATTTGGTCAACCCACTTTCCATGGCATCCAGGGCCCTGAATTAAACAGCTGCCTATTTTAAGTTCAACAGGTGGCTCGGTTCTGGCTTCTCACCATGTTTCTCTCTATACCATCCTCACGCTGGTCAGTGGTGCCGTCTGACACTAGACTGTGCATCCGAGACCTGAGACACCTTTCAGTGTTCCCATCATGTCTGCACCCAGTCAGATCCTTAGGAGAGCCCTGCAGTCTCACCTCCGGATACTCTTAGGGCTGTCCCCTCTTCTGCGGGGCCCCCCCCCCCCCCCCCCCCCCCCCCCCCCGTACCTAGTTTTGGGAGGGTGAGTCATACTTTTCTGAACTGTTTTCTCCCATTTCTGCCTCACCTTTCTGATTTTTTAAGTCAGACATCTTTGCTTCTCATGTTGTTAGGGTCAGATATGGACACCTCACTCTGGCACACTGAGTCCTGCCTTATCGTTCTGCTTTATAGAGTTCCTTGGAGTGTTTTGAATCCCTGGTGGATATTAGGAATTATTAGTGCCTTGACATATCCTTGCCCTACCCCGAGCACACGCAGTCCCAACTCCCTACCTAAATTGCCGTTTTCTGAGACAGGCTCTTGTTTTGTGGCCCATTTTGGTCTGGAACTTGTAATCCTTTGCTTCCACCTTAGAGTCCTGGGATTCCAGAATTCCTGAAGATGGCCACTCCACACCACGTTCAGTGCCTGCTGTGGCCCCTCCTACAGTTCTCATTGTTTACCTTTTTGGTTGGCGAGGCCATCATCTCCAGGAAGGCAGGGACCAGGCTTTATGTTCTAGGATCAGGGCTGGTGTCTCTCGGCAGCTAGCACAACCCCCGGAGGCTAAACATTTCACTGAAAGATTCTTAGGAAGAGTCAAATGGTGTAAATCTGAAGACTATTAGGTTTCAGGGTTGGGTTAGTCTACAGGCTGGTGTGTACACATGACTTATGAAACTGAAAGCCTTGAACTTGACAGCGTTGAAGCTGCTAGTTTCCTTCCCTGTAGTTCTGTGAGGTTTGTAAATGTTAATATTCCTATCCTGACCTAGAAGAACAGAGACTAACTCCTGGTAATGTTATTTGGCCAGGCATGGTGGCACAGGCTTATAATCCCATCACTCAGAAGGCTGAGGCATGCCACTTGTAAGCTTGAAGCCACCCTGAAGCCACCCTGGGTTACATGGCAAGACTGTCTCCAAAAAGACCAGTAAGCCTGCAGAGTTTCAGACTACCAACTTTGTAGTGTGAACAGTCCAGAACTCCAGGTGTATATCCAGCTTACATACTTCATTTTTGGTGTAGGATTTGTTGCTGGTGGTACTGTTTGACTTTTGCTAGCAACTGTAGTGCCCTTCTTTACCTACTGGTTACTGTTTATGTCATAGGCAACATCTAGATTAAGAGAGAGAGGCTGTGACGGACGCCTGGCAGGAATCGAAGTCCAACAACTCTTTTGTTCTCAAAGTGCAGCAATTCCTGAGCACCAGCTCAAAGAGCTGAACATGAAAATTGACAGTGCTTTGCAGGTAAGTGTTTCAATACTGGCAGTTGCATAGAGAGATGACTGCTTAAAAAGGCAACAAAATAATAATAACTAGAAAATTTTAAACATAATATTTTTATTCTTTGAGAATTTCATGTATGCATGTAGTGTGTTATGGTCATATTCAGCCACCTATCCTTCCCTAACTCCTTCCACAACTGTAGAAATTTTAAGTTCCTATTTTTGTTGGACTTGATTCTTGCAGGCATATAAAATAGCATTGGAAAGCTTAGGCCACTGTGAATATGCAATGAAAGCTGGCTTCCACCTGAACCCGAAGGCCATTGAAGCAAGTTTGCAGGTACACTTTTCTCTCTGGTGGCTCTGGGAGTTGTCTACTCAGTCCTGTGGGAACCAAATGCTTTGCCGTGTGAGCTGTGGGTCACCTCCGCTCTCCTCTCCAAACCCTTTCCAGGGCTGCTGCAGCGAGGCGGAAGCTCAGCAGACGGGGCGAAGGCAGACACCCCCACAGCCCATGCAGTGTGAGCTTCCCATCGTCCCTGTGCAGATAGGACCGCACTTCCTGAAGGGGGTCTCCTTTAATGAGTCGGCTGCTGACAATCTGAAGCTTAAGACGGTAGCTTTCCCTGGACTCCCTGGGTTCCAGCACCTGAGCGTGAACTTGGAAAGAGAACTATTTTGGGAAACTTGAGGGCTTTTGAAGAATGTAGATTACAAAACACAGTGGAGATCAAGGAAGGAGGCTCTAACTTTTCTGAGTACAGTGATGGTCAAATGCAGCTTGTGATGTCTCAGTTGTGTGTGTATGGTGCTAGGGGTTGAACCCAGGGCCTCACACATGCATAACAAACACTAAGTCACACCCAGCCCTGGGGTAACATAATAAGACATTTGCTAAGAAAGTTTTATTAGTAATTTAAATGAATAATTCAAATAACAAATGTTTGTTCAAGTGTTTAACAGAGTTTGAGAGTACACCATGAAATACTGTTGATTAATGTTTGCTGGTGCGTTTTTGAGAGTTAAGTATCAGAAATCGTAGTACAATGATAATAGTCATTTGTGAAGCATCGTTGGTGCAGGAGTTACAGCAAAGTGCTTCGCATGCATTGTTTTATTGAATTCGTGTCTCATGGAGGCAAGGCTATTCCACCTGTCCCCATGTGACAGAGGAACTGAGACCAAAGTAACATGCCTAGCAATTAGGAGAGCTGGAACTTGGGCTCATTCGGTCTGTTCCAGAGCCTCTCTACACTGACTTTGTTGTTGTTTAAAAAAAGTTGAGGTTGGGCCAGGCTTGGTGGCACATACCTGGAACTCTACCACTCAGGGAGGCAGAGAAAGGTAGCTCTCTTGAGTTTGAGGCCAGCCTGGTCTTCATAGAGAGTTCTAGGTCCATCAGGGACACACAGTGAGACCCTGCCTGCAAAATCTATGTTTTGTTTTTTTCACCTGGCATGATCTGGGTGTTGTCAGAATGCTTCTCTGGAGGATTGTTGTATAAATGTCTTGAGATGTACCCTCTCCCCTCTCTGTCGATCTGTAGCATACCATGTTACAGCTCATCAAGGAAGCAGGCTGCTACAATGGAATCACACCTCGGGATGATCTTCCTGTGACGGAAGTACTGAACCAGGTGTGCCCGTCCACGTGGCGGGGCGCCTGTAAGACTGCTGTGCAGCTGCTGTTTGGCCAGGCGGGACTGGTGAGTGTGTGAAGGGACAAGAGAAGCTTGTGGGGTGGCATATGTGCAGATACACCGCATTCAGGAGGCTGAGGCAAAGGAGGAGCGTGAGGCCAGCCTGAGGGACATAGGAAGACCCTGCTCTCCCCACAAAACCAAAAGTTTTGTGGTTTGTTTGTGTGGGGTTTTTTTTGTTGGTTTTTTTTTTTTTTTTTTTTTTTTTTTTGAGACAGGGTTTTTCTGTGCAGCCCTGGCTGTCCTGAAACTCGTTCTGTAGACCAGGCTGGCCTTGAACTCACAGAGATCCACCTGCCTCTGCCTGTCACTCTGGGATTAAAGGCGTGCACCACCTGTTTGTTTTAACACATTGGTAACCTGTATTTGCTGGGACTCTAGTTGCAGAATGGTGCTGTTGCAGGCTTTCCTCATCTTAAGGAAACAAGTGCATTATTCTGCTTGGGCAGGCCTTGACCGCTCTGCAGCCACACTGGAGCCAGGCTGGTGGCCTCTGCACTCAGCTGTTCTCTCTGCCTTCATGTGGCCCACTCTCATCTGTCCATGGCAGCCCGACTTTCACCTCCAAGAATCTACTTGTGACTGGTGCTGGTATCAGCGGGACCCCCAACCTAATCATTTCCTACCCTCCCTCTCTGCCCATTGCCTTTTGAACAAAAAAATGACAGTATCCACTTCAAGACAGTGGTTTAATCTGTTTTTTTTTTTTCTTTTGGTTTTTTTCAAGACAGGGTTTCTCTGTGTAGCTTTGTGCCTTTCCTGGAACTCGCTTTGTAGACCAGGCAGGCCTCGAACTCACAGAGATCCGCCTGCCTCTGCCTTCCGAGTGCTGGGATTAAAGGTGTGTGCCACCACCGCCCAGCAGTTTAATCTTTTTACCTGTCAGAGAAGAAGGAAAAGAAAACAAAAAACAAAAGAAACACTGGGTGGGGTCCAGAGCTCAGCATCTGTAATCACTCTTAGTTTTTTTGTCTGGCACATCCACCCATGGAGCTTGTACGTGCTTGATTCCACCTTGTAGTCATGGCTCTTTTTGAAAGAGTGAGCATTTGCATCGGAGGTTAGAAGAAGCTAATCTGAGAATTCTGAAATGAAAGAACTTGTTGAGCACAGCATACACACAGCACTCTGAAGGTGTTTGAGGTCAGCCTGGTCTCCAGAGAGAGTTCCAGGCTAGCTAGGGCTACAGAATGACACCCTGTCTCAAACAAACAAACAAACAAACAAATGTAAGTACTCCTTTTAGTCTAATTTCTGTTAGTCATGAAAGGAGAGCTTGGAATGGTGCTTGTCCCTGTTTGATGCAGGTCGGTCTCAGGCGGCCTCGTTGAGGGCAGTGCTGTCTTGTGATGGAAGGGGACCTGCTCACAGAGCTGGGCTCCCTTCACTTGAAGATCTGTGTAGGAAGAAAAGCAAGAAACAGGAGTCACTCTACTAACCTAGACAGCAGAGGCTGAGCCATATTCTCAAAGACCCTCTAGCTGAGGCTGGGGCTCTGGCAACACAGTGAACATTAGGAGAAGGCTGTTTTGGGAAAACACTGTAAGCTAAAGGGGAAGTCTCGGCCTACTCAGAACCCACTGATGGCAGGGCTCCTTTGTGTAGCTGACAAAGAACCTTTAGGACCATCGTCATAGGAGTGGGGGAGAGAGGAAACACCTGTCAGGGCCCACAAAGGCTGTTCCTTGGACAGGAAATGTTTCCCAAGGTCCAGCTGTGAGAGCCTGTTGATAGCGGTGGAAATCAACACTAGACGCTGTGTTTGGAATCCTAAGGAGTGAGTACCTATGAGTAGCTTGACCCTTCTAAAATGGAGCTGTGGGTTTCTGCTAGTGAGCTGCAGCCTCAGCCTTGCAAGTACCTTAGATTATAGGCCTGTATCACCAGGCCCAGCTTGGGTCAACTTCTGAAATTTTTTTTTCAATTATATAAAAATTTAAAACTACTAAAATAAAGGATGCGCAATCCATCCTCCCTCTCCTCTTCCTTCTCTTCCTTTTCCAGTCCTTTCCTTCATTTCTCTCTTCCAGTTAAACATTTATTTTAGGACTTTATTTTTAAGTTAAGAGAGTGTGTGTGTGTGTGTGTGTGTGTGTGTGTGTGTGTGTGTCTGTCAATGTGGAGGCCAGAAGAGGCCATTGGACCTGCTGGAGCTGGAGTTGAAGTGGCAGTGAGCGGCTTGAGGTGGGTGCTGGGTCTCAGAACTTCTGGAAGAGCAGGGAATACTCCCAACGTCTGAGCCTGCTCTCCAGCCCCATTGATCTCTTCTTTTTGAGACAAGGTCTCATACTGCACAGACTGACCTCAAAGGGTTGGGATGACAGGCATATACAACCCACTCATCTGGAGGGATTTGTAATTCTAACAGCTGCAGTTGAGTGGACCCCAGAATCAGAATTTGGTTTCTGTGTGTTCAGACGCTATTACTTGCTATTGTCTCTGGGACCTCACTGGTCTCAGTACAGATGTGCGGTGGACAGTTCTGCTGGTCACTGAGCGTCTGACACGGGTACGTACTGGGATGTCTGATACTGGAAGCTCTCTGAACCTGGTGGTTACCTTTGTTTCTTTCCCAGGTGGTTGTCGACACAGCACAGATTGAAAATAAAGAAGCCTACGCACCCCAGATCAGTCTAGAAGGCTCCAGAATTGTGGTTCAAGTTCCATCCACATGGTAATTTGATTATTTTTATTTTATTTATTTATTTTGGTTTCTTGAGATAGGGTTTCTCTGTGTAACAGCCCTGGGTGTCCTGGAACGCTCTTCGTAGACCAGGCTGAGTACTGGGACTAAAGGCATGTGCCACTGCTGCCTGGCCCAATTTGACTTTTTTTTTTTTTTTTTTAAAAAGTTTAGTGGGGGGAGGGGGGGAGGTGTTAGATCAATTTTTTTTTTAAGGTTTATTTATTTATTATGTATACAGCATGTATGACTGCAGGCCAGAAGAGGGCACCAGATCTCATTACAGATGGTTGTGAGCCACCATGTGGTTGCTGGGAATTGAACTCAGGACCTCTGGAAGAGCAGTCAGTGCTCTGAACCTCTGAGCTATCTCTCCAGCCCCCAATTTGACTTTTATTAACAGAAGACTAAAGTCTGAAGGCTGGGTATCTTTTGCTGCTGTGGAACCTGACCATAATGAGCAGTGTTACCTTGTTACTGAAGCCACAGTGTCTTCTGTTCCCATTAAGTTACCATTCTTTTTCCAAAGCCGAGTAGAAACTGTAGAGTTCCTTCTTCACTCTGGCTGTTCCAGTCACAGCCCTGGTGACCTTGAACTCATACCATTATATGCCAAGTGTCACTGTAAGTCTGGGGACAGATAAGGCCCTTTTTAGTACCCTTCAAAAGATAAAGGGTTATTCATAGTCTGTTTTTTGAGGAAAATATGGTCCTATAAACAAGTAAGGAAGCAGGCCAGCAATATGATCCCATAAGCCATAAAAGAAGGCATGATGCACAAGGAAATACAGAAAATGCACAGCCTCACTCAGTGATCACAGCAAGTGAGGGAGACGATCAAGATGCATTTTACCCAAAGATAGTAGATTGACTTAGAATAACAATAAGAAATATTGAGGAAGTACTGGTTTAAGCTAGACTGCAGAAACAGGCCAAGAGGTTGTTGGATCGAGAAGAAATCACACACGCTTTTTTTTTTTTTTTTTTTGGAGAAAAGTTTATGGAGTATCTGAAGCTGAGGACATGCCCTGGGCTATTCCACATTGCATCTCTAGGGGTTTGTCCTTGATATGTGCACAAGAATGACCATTGTTGTGCTGGGATGTAGCTCAGTTGTAGAGTACTGGCCCAGAACGCATGCATGACCCTGGGTTTGGTCCCCAGCATCCCATAAAACTGAGCTTGGGCCGGGCGGTGGTGGCGCACGCCTTTAATCCCAGCACTTGGGAGGCAGAGCCAGGCGGATCTCTGTGAGTTCGAGGCCAGCCTGGTCTCTAAAGCGAGTTCCAGGAGAGGCGCAAAGCTACACAGAGAAACCCTGTCTCGAAAAACCAAAAAAAAAAAAAAAACTGAGCTTGGTAGTGCACACCTGTAATCCCAGCACCCGGGAGGTGGAAGCAGGAGGATCAGAAGTTCAAGGGCATCCTCAGCTACAAGGTTGTCCTCCACTACAAAAGAAGTTTAGACCAGCCCAGAATACGTGAGACACCGTCTCAGATTAAATAAACAAACAACTAAATAAATAAAGGAAGAAAGAATGATTAGCTGGTTAGAGAGATGGCTCACCCAGGAAAGGGCCTTGCCACCAAACCCAAGTTTAAGCCCCAGAACCTACACAGGTGGAAGGAGAGAATGGCCTCCTTCTGCAAGTTGTCCACCGACATCCACATAAATATAAAAACAATAATTTGGGGCACTGAAGAGTGGATAAGAGCACTTTCTGCTCTTCCAGAGGACCCAGGTTCGCTTCTCAGCACCCACCTGGTGGCTCACAACTGTCTGTAATTCCAGCTCAGAAATTTAAAAGCATTAGTATGACTGTTGAAGTGGTATAGTGTGTAGTGGTATTTGCTCCGCCCATGACCTTGGGCTATAGGGCCCAAAGAAGGTGATGCTTCTTACCATTGTACATGACCTCTTAAAAGGAAAGGGAGAAGGGCCCCTTCTCCCTGCTGCCTACTCCTGGTCTGATCCAACTACCAGGTGGATTCTCTCCCAGTCAGAACAGAGGACAACTTTAGCTGTTTACTCCATTCTGTATTCGTGAGTGTATTTCTTCAATTTTTAATATCTTAGTAAATCCCTATTACCCATCAAATGGACTCACATGGATTGATCTTAACAAGAGTGTCCTAAAATCAGTGGTAATCAAGGTAGGTAGGTTGATAATAGAGATCTTTTTAAAAACAGATTCATTTACTTTTATTTTATATGTATAAGTACCTGCATGTATGTATGTGTACCACATGCATACCTGTGCCTTCAGAGGTCAGAAGAGGGTGTTGCATCCCCTGGGACTGGAATTACAGAGCTGTTGTACGGGTGTCTGGAACTGAACCTGGGTCCTCCACAAGAACAGCAAGTGCTCTTAACCAGCCCTTATGAAACCCTTATTCTTATGAAACAATAACTTAAAAGGCTCAGTTTTCTGTAAGAGTTTGCAATTTCTGAATTCCTAATTAAAATTTCCAATTCAAATTCTCATCTTAAAAGTTTTTTGGGGGTTGGGGTTTTAGCTCAGTGGTAGAGCGCTTGCCTAGCAAGCGCAAGGCCCTGGGTTCGGTCCTCAGCTCCGGAAAAAAGGAAAAAAAAAGTTGTTTTTTTTGTTTTTAGACAGGTGTTTTTTTTTTTTTTTGGTTTTTCGAGACAGGGTTTCTCTGTGTAGCTTTGCGCCTTTCCTGGAACTCACTTGGTAGTCCAGGCTGGCCTCGAACTCACAGAGATCCGCCTGGCTCTGCCTCCCGAGTGCTGGGATTAAAGGCGTGCACCACCACCGCCCGGCTTAGACAGGTTTTTATGTAACACAGGATGACCTGAAACTCACTATGTATCTGAGAATGACTTTGAACTCCTAAGCCTCTTGCCTCCACCTCCTGAAGTAGGATTACCTATGTATGGCACCATGCCTAACTCATTGAAAAATATTAAATTTTATAAGGATTCTCATTTTGAGGAAAACAGATAAAACTTTTATATAGTTGGGTGAATGTAAACAGCTATTGCTAAACTAGTGTTTTCTACCAAAACTGTGGTTCACTTCCTTTGTAATTCATTCACTGTACCTCCTGAAGTGGCCTTGTAGGCCGTGACTCCTTGCAAGGGCTCCCTCTGCTGTCTATTTTTGGTAATGATGAAAATAATAAGGTGTTTTTGGTTGGGGTTTGTTTTTTCTCTTGGAAGCTAAGATCAAGAGTCTCTTCTATGAAATGAAATATGAAGTATTTCAGACCCCAACTGTTGTGTGGTGTGGTTTGTTTTAAAAGTGTTTGCATGTGGATAGGATGAGGGGTGTGAGAATGAGACTGAAGTCTAAGCACAGAACTCTCGGGGTCTCAGATAGCTGTTCCCTCTAGGCCAGCACTGGCCTCATGCAGTGTTTGTAGTTCTTCTGAATTTTTACTGTGGCCTTGCCCCTGAGATCAGTTGTGGAATTTCCCACTTCTGTTGTCTTTGCTAGCGTTTTTTATTTGGATTTTGAGCATTTCAAGTTAGAGATGTTTGGCCTATTCAAGTCTATGCTTATTGGAAAGGCTGAAGCAAGACCATGTTACTTCATTCTTGGGAAAATGATTGTCAGCAAACGAGTCAAGAATTTATTCAGCCAGTCATAATGGTACACACCTGTCTTCCTGTCACTGAGGAGGCTGACAGAAGAATCGCCACATTGAAGCCATTACGGGCTATGTAAACAACATACCTCCTCTGTGTCTGTCTCTCTCACACACAGATATTTCTATATATTATATTATATTATATTATATTATATTATATTATATTATATTATATATACATTATATTCTCCACACATACCGATACAGGACAGAACAGCAGGAGAATGACTATTAGGATGATGAGGATGGGGAGTTAAGGAGGCAAATAGAGTGGGGAAAATGCAGTGATAGGAGTGGAGTGGATGAAGTGTCATGATGAAACATGGCCAGCAAATTAGATCAGTGGGTAGAGAGCCTAATGAGCAAGGGTGAAGGCCTGACTCTGATCCCTGAACCCATGTAAACATGACCAAGAACCAACTCCAAAGTTGTTAACCTCCACGTGAGTGCCATGGCACACATGAACACGTACATACTGGTAAGAAATAGAAAACTTTTTTTTTTAATGAAACCTGACTGATAAAATGGCTCAGCTATTAAAACCACTCACTGCAGAGAACCTGAGTCCAGTTCCCAGCATCCACATTGAGTAGCTCACGGCCATTTATAATTCTAGTTCCAGAGGATTTAATGCCTTTGACTTCCTTAGAAACTGGCAGTCACCTGCACAGACTCACACACATATTCATAAATAAAAATTATAAAGCCAGGTGTAGTGGTTCACACCTTTAATCTTAGCACTCAGGGGGTGGGCACAGGAGGACGCTGTGAGTTTGAGGTCAGCCTGGTCTACATAGCAAGTTGAGGCCAGCCAGAATTATGTAATGAGATCTTACCACAAGTAATAATAATAATAATAGTAAATAAAATAAATCTTACAAGAAATATATTATTTTGTATGAAGTTGATTTTTAAAAGTTAATCTGAGTACTTAGGAATCAGAGGCAGGAGGACCAGGAATTCAAGGCAGTTGTATAGCAAGTTTAAGGCCTGCCTGGGCTACATGAGCCTCTAACAGAAGAAACAAAACGAGGCCTGTGAGATGGCTCAACATGCTCTTGCCAGCAAGCCTGATAACCTGAGTGTATGGGATCCACATGGTAGAAGGGAGAACCAGCTCCTACAAATTGTCCTCACACGCCCCTTTGTACTCGTGTATTCATACACATAATAAATAAATAAAATGTAACAATAAAAACACAGCTGAGACCAGCAAGACAGCCCGTTGTATAACCTTAATCCTGACAGCCTCATTCAGTCCCTAGGACCCAATGGAAGAAGGGAAGAGCCAGCTCCTGAAAGTTGCCCTTTGACCTCTGTGTTCGGGCACAAACACCTACACCTACATACACAAAATAAATAATGTAAATTTAAAATTTATTCTAAAGCCAGTCACGATGAAGCACACCTTTAACCCCAGCACTCAGGAGGCAGAAGCTGGCAAATCTCTGAGTTTTAGGCCAGCCTGGTCTAGAGTTAGTTCCAGGACAGTCAGGGCACACAGAGAAACCCTATCATGGGGAAAACCCTAGGCAGTCTTAAAGGTGTTTTATTGGTCTGCTTTCAAGGCTGTATAATGTATAACTAAAAATTTGTTAATTTCTCAGAAAAATAAATTACTAGGAATTATAGTGTTCTTTTTTTTTATCTGAGCGACAAATGATCTCTTAGTTGGTAAAACCACAGTGCCAAGCCCAGACTCAATCAGAAGTGGGCCCAGGGACCTGGAGCAGGTGGCGTGTCCTGGTAGTCAGTTGTTGCAGACCAGAGAATTGGGTGTCCAAATCTTGGTCTGTTTGGATAAACAAGCTCTCCTAGAAGTCCAGCGTCAGGCTTCCTTTGTTGGCCAGTTCTATCCTCATACTTAAGTTTCTTCCCTAGCCAAGTCATGTTGGGAGTACTGCTGTCTCCTTTCAGGGGCTGCAGAATGCCCAGGAACTGGCAGGAAGCCTGTTTCTCGAGCAGTAAGCTCTCCGATTCAGAAGAGAGACTGTAGTGGACAGTGGAGATAAGAGGTAGTTGGATGTCCTGAGAGCTGTCCCGGCAAAGGCAACAGCAGAGCAAAGGCCCTCAGGTGTGGCAACCCTAGTCAGAACAGCGGGAGACCTCAGGGGCAAGGTGACAGATGCCCCTGAGGCCATAGTGAGAGGGAGAGTCATTTGGAGATAAAGAGCCTTGGCTTGGGCTGTGTCTGAGTTTACTAAGAAGCTATCTTAAGCCAGGTGTTGTAGCCCACACTTCTTATCCTAGCACTCGGAAGAGGTAGAAAGAGTATAAATTTGAAGATAGCCTTTGTTACATAGCAAGACTTTTTTTAAAAATAATAATTCATTTATTTTATGTGCATTGAATGCATGTCTGTCTGAAGGTGTTGGATCCCCCTGGAACTGGATTTACAGTTGTGAGCTGCCATGTGGGTGCTGGGAATCGAACCCGGGTCCTCTGAAAGGACAGCAAGAGCTCTTAACTGTTGAGCCATCTCTCCAGCACCCACATAGCAAGACTCTTATTTTAAAAGTTTAAAATGGAGGAGGGGGAGGGGGAGCCTGGAGTGGTAGCTCAGCAGTTAAAAGCACTGCCTGTTCTTACAGAGGATTCTGTTCCCAGCACCCACATGGTGGTTCATAACCATGTGTAACTCTAGTTCCAGGAGTTCCAATATCCTCTCTGAACTCCATGGACACCAGGCATTGCACATGGTACATAGAAATGTAGGCAACACTCATACACATAAAATAATTAAAAAAAAAAAAAACATAAAACCTAACCACATTAGTCTGTTCCTGATAGACAGACTAGACAGAGAAGTCCATGGAGGCCTGTAGACAGAGTCTCATATTCACACAACACTTAGCAAACACTGGACTTCCCACACCAAGCAGTTCTCCTGATTTTCTGCAGACAGTGGTCCCTATACTTGAATTTGATGCAAACCACCCAAAGTTAACACAAAGCCCAGTAGGTTAATGACTCAGTCCCACAAGTCTGCTTCCCATTTCATACCCAAGCCCAGGATGTTATTGTCCTTTCTAACCATTCTCCTGTAATTGGGAGTTCCCATAATTGTGGTGGTATTTTACTTATACTGAAATGTGATTTTAATTGTATGTTAATAAATAAAGTTGTCTGGGGGTCAGAGCTATTAGAGTCATAGCAAGTGCGTGGCGGCGGTGGCGCATGCCTTTAAGGACCTGGAGGGCGGTACATTCAGACAGTAACGAGGCAGTCACATGTTTGGGTTTACAACCAATGAGAAGGCAGAACAGGAAGACTTTAAAGACAGACACACAGGAAGTAGGTCCTTTTCGGAGAGCTCTCTTGGCTGGAGAGGATCCCTGAATCAGGAAGGGTGAAGCTCTTAGCTCTGACCTCTTGGCTTTCTTCTCTGAATTGGCTCTGTGTTTCTTATTTTATAAGACCATTGGTTACATCTACACATAATCTCTTCCTCAAGTTTGATAATTTGTTGTATTGACTCCTAGAACTCAGGAGCATACAAGTATGGGCTAATTATAAAGGATACCTCAGCAGAGACAAATGAATAGCCAAATGGAGGGGTACATGGGAAAGCTATATGGGAAGGGCATGAAGCCCCCATCCTCTCCAAGCATATCCCCTACTAGCACCTTGAGTTGAAGTTCTCCCATCTTAGTGATTTTTATCATGTAGGTGTGGTTGATTATAACTTTCTCTGGGGCTTCTCCCTCTACCTCCAGAGGTTAGCAAAATGGTGTTGAAGGTCTTCCCGAGCTTCTAGTGATGGTCTGGTCTTTCTAAGTGATTATCCCCCAACCTGCTGCTACCCAGGAGTCCATCAACAGGTAATCTCAATAGAAGGAAAGGCAGTTTGGAGCTAGGGATACAGCTGAGTCACAGATATGTGTCCAGCATTTGTGCTCCCCTTTATCCCATTGCCAAAACACTCATACCACCTAGGAAATTGCAAGTGATTTAAAAGCTCTGCATCACCGGGCAGTGGTGGCGCATGCCTTTAATCCCAGCACTCAGGAGGCAGAGGTAGATGGATCTCTGAGTTCGAGGCCAGCATGGTCTACAGAGCAAGTTTCAGGACAGCCAGGGCTACACAGAGAAACCCTGTCTCAAAACAAAACAAAACAAAAAAATAATAATAAAATAAAATAGATAAAGCTCTGTGTCAGGGACCAAGCTAGAACAAATGCCATTTCTAGCATCCTTGTTACTCTGGAAATGATCAGAGTTTAGAAGGTCATTGTTGGAACTGGAGGCAGAGCCCAAACATGCGGATTGTTGGCTGCTGTTGAGAGCACACGTCTACTCAGTGTCATTCAAGAAATTTTATGAAGTAGGAAATAGGTTTTGTGAGAAGTCAGTTAAATGATACCTAGTTTCAGGCTAATGTTCACATTCTGAGAGTTAAGTGAATCAAATTCAGCTAAGATTTTCTTTAGTTAAACGTGTACTAGATGCTTTGAAGATCATTTTGATTTACAGTGTTTTCCTCCTACAGTGGAAAGTTTAGCTTACTTTAAATATGCTCTTCTACAGCCATGCTGCTCTGTTTGTGTTGTATTTTGTCTGAGTGTGCTCTCTACTAGAGCATGCTCCCATTGAGAGACCCGTGGTGCCAGTGTTTTCTCTCCTTTTGCACAGGAGTTCTAGTGTCAGACTTACTGTTTCTGTACTCCCTAGGTTGGATGGGGTTTTTTGTGGGGGAGGGGGGAGTTTCTCTCTGTTGCCTTGGCTGTCCTAGAAGATCCTATGTATACCAGGCTGGCCTTAAACTCACAGCCATCTGTCTTCTGAGATTAAAAGGCATGCACTACCACACCTGTTTGTTTTTTTGTTTGTTTTTTTAATGCTAAAATTATGTAAGTTGTAGTCTTTTCTATAATGCTTTCTCTGAACACCTTTACAGAGAAGTATGGCCAAGACTAATGTGACCTGGTTTGTACCTAGGTGCCTGAAGGAAGACCCTGCAACAATGTCCCTGCTGCAGAGAAGCCTGGATCCTGAGAAGACCCTGGGTCTGGTGGATGTGCTGTACACAGCCGTGTTGGACCTAAACCGCTGGAGAGCGGGAAGGTTGGTGTCCCTCCACTCACTTGAAGTAGCTGTACATGGGGTTTGCATTTTAGATCCACAGCCAGGAGCAATCCATGTGTGCTCGTGCCACAGAGTATGTGGTAAGTGAGTAAGAAAGAAAGCTGAGCCGGGCAATGGTGCCACTCACCTTTAATCCCAGAGGATTAAAGACTGAGGTGAGGCAGGTAGATCTCTGGAGTTTGAGGCCAGCCTGGTCTCTGGAGTGAGTTCCAGGACAGTCAAGGCTACACATCGAGAATCCCTGTCTGAAACACAAAACAACAACAAAAAAGGAAAGCCAAGCAGTAGTGGCACATGTTTTAAACCCAGCACTCAGGAAGCAGAGGCAAGGGGATCTCTATGAGTTCGAGACCAGCCTGTTGTACAAAGCAAGTTTCAGGACAGCCAGAGCTGTTACACAGACAAACCCTATTCCCACCCACTCACCCCACCCTCCAAAAAAAACAAGAAAGGGCACTTTCTGGTAACTTTATTTCAAGATGAGTCAAACATGTAGAAAAGATAGAAGAAAAGAGCAAAGCTTTATTCTTTCTCCATTACCCATATTTCTTAATCTGTTAACATTTCATTCTTTTAATCAGAAAGGAAGGTTATAGAGAGAACTTTTGACCCAGTTCCCATCCTCATAAACAAAAGCAGAGAAAAGTTTAGAAAATGTACTTGTATCCTTCATGAAGCTTATGTGTACTTGGAAGGAGTCAAAAAGTTAGAAGCTCCACTCTGAGTTGTTCATGTTAGTACTGGTGGATACCTTAAACGTACAGCCATGCCTGAAGGGCTGGAGCAGCCCAGCACAGCAACATGGTGCTGGCAGGCCTTGCCCTCCCCGCTTCCCTCTCCCTTGTAACTTTAGATTACGTCCCTAAAGCTGGCCACCATGGTCTAGTCCCTTTGGACACTTTCGTATGCCAGACTTATTCCTAAGACTGATCACCAAGGTCTAGCTACCAAAGTTTTGAAATCCAGCAATAAAAAGTCCCCTTTTGGCCAGATGGTGGGGGCACCCACCTTTAATCCCAGCACTCGGGAGGCAGAGGCAGGGGATCTCCCAGTTCAAGGCCAGCCTGGTCTACAAAGGAGTTCCAGGACAGCCAGGGAGAAACCCTGTCTTGAAAAACCACAAACCAAAAACAAAACCAAAAAAAGTGTCCCCGTTGGGCTACCCTAATTTACATGCCCAATCTAAACAAACCCACTCATCCTAACAGGTTTCCCCTTTCCCTTTATAAACTCTCCTTTGCCTGTGGGTCTGTCTCCTCTATCCAGAGGCAGTCCTTTGTCCCTCGGGGGCAAATACCCTTCCTCCTCTCCTCTGCCTCTTTTCTTCCCTCTCCCTGTCTGTCTCTCAGAGGAGATAAATCTCTGTGCTGAGAACTTGGTCTTGGTGTGCCCTGTGCCGACCACCATTCTTTTCATTCTCTCATCTCTTTTCCCTTCCTCTCCTGACACTCCATTTGGACTTCAGGCTGGTCTCAGATTTACTATGTAGTCCAAATTGGCCTTGAATTTTTGAAATCATCTTACTGTGACTCCTAGGGATATAAGCCACCACACCCAGCTTTCTCCTCTTAACACATGATGAGTTCAGTGAAATGTCAAGGGTCATAGCAGCCATCAGCTGCCTTTTCCCCTGCCTCATGTCCTATTTATCGACAGTATTCTCCTGCAGTAGAGAGAATACTCGGGTCAGGCATCGTCACACACGCCTTTAATCCCAGAACTTGCACTCAGGAGGCAGAAGCAGGAGGATCTCTGAGTTTGAGGCCAGCCTGGCCTGGTCTACAGAATGAGTTCCAGGACAGGCAGGGCTACAGAGACAGACCCTGTCTTGAAAAACCAAAAGGAAAAAGAAAAGAAAAAAGAGTACTCAAAAATCCTTGGAAGTAACAGCATCAGTACCTAGTGACCCTAACACCTTTCTCCTACCCCTCCTCCACCTCCTACTGTTGGCATCTGTCCGTTGGTTTCTGCCCAGTCTGCCGGTTGCACCTCCACACTAGCCAGGCCCTGCTCTTAGGCCCTGCTCTTGTATGCTACACATAAGTTTCACTCCAGCTGCGGACACCATACTATATACAGTCTTCTGTTAAACACTGGGTATTCATTTACGTATGTATAAAGCAGATGAACCTAGTACCCACCTGCCCTAGTTTACCTTCTATTGTGATAAGACCAGGGCCAAAAGCAACTAGGGGAGGAAAGGGTTGATTTGGTTCACGGATTATACAGCCCTTCATCTATGGAAGCCAAGGCAGGAACCTGGAGGCAGGAGGTAAGCAGAGACTGAGAAGGAATGCTGCTTACTGGCTTGCTTTATATGGCTTGCAAAGTCTGTTTTTTTATACATCCCAGGACCATGTATATGCCTGGGGTGGCACTGCCCGTAGTGGGCTGGGCCCTCCCTCATCAATCATTGATCAAGAAAATTCCCATGTGGGGCTGAAGAGCTGGCTCAGCGGTTAATAGCACTGATTGCTCTTCCAGAGGTCCTGAATTCAATTCCCAGCACCATATAGTGTCTCACAACCATCTATAATGAGATCTGGTGCCCTCTTGTGGCATGTAGGCATACATGCAGACAGAACACCGTAAACATAATAAATAAATAAATCTTTTTTAAAAAAGAAAGAAAATGCCCACTCCAGGCAATGGTGTAGCATGCCTTTAATTCCAGCACTCAGGAGGCAGAGGCAGGCAGATCTCTGTGAGTTCGAGGCCACCCTGGTCTACAGAGTGAGTTCCAGGACAGCCAAGGTTACACAGAGAAACCCTGTCTCAAAAAACCAAAAAAGAAAAGAAAATGCCCAGTCATGGGGGCTGGAGAGATGCCTCAGAGGTTAAGAGCACTGGCTGTTCTTCCAAAGGTCCTGAGTTCAATTCCCAGCAACCACATGGTGGCTTATAACCATCTATAATGAGATCTGGTGCCCTCTTCTGGCCTGCAGGCACACATGCAGCCAGAACACTGTATACATAATAAATAAATTTTAAAAAGAAGGAAAGAAAAGAAAATGCCCAGTCTTACCTATAGCATTGCCTGTCAATGGAGGTTCCAATTCCCAGATAACTAGTTTATGTCAGGTTGATTAAAAAAAAAAAAATCAACCAGGACACCACCAGAAAGGTCCTTTTCTCAAAGTCAGGCAAGTTCTTGTCCCTTCTTTCCTCCGTCTCCCTGTAGCTCACTTGCCCACTTTGTAGTGCTGAGGCTTAAAACATCATCGTGCTAGTTAGTAATCCACAGCAAAAAAGGCTTTCATTCTCCAACTTCCTCTTTTCTTTTCCTCCTATTCAAATAGGGAACAAGCTCTGCCCTGTATACAGATCCAGCTACAAAGGGACATCTGTGATTTTGGGAACCAGACTGACCTGCCCTCTGGAAATGGAAGCAAATCCTCAGGCCTGCAGAAGACCTTCTCCAAACTAACATCTCGGTTCACCAAGAAGGTGTCATGCACCAGCTCCAGCAGCACACACTATTCCAAAACCGTCTTCACAACTGGGTGTTCAGAGGAGAAGGCCAAGATGCCAGGCAATATTGATACACGGTTACAGAGCATTTTGAACATTGGTAACTTCCCTAGGACTCCAGACCCTTCCCAGTCGGCTCAGAATTCCAGTAATCCAATGGCCAATGGTTTTCTCCTGGAGAGTCATGAGAACTTCCTGCATGTTGATGATAGCAAGGATGAGAAGGGCATGAACTTACCCACTGATCAGGAAATGCAGGAAGTGATAGATTTTCTCTCAGGCTTTACCATGGGCCAGTCCCATCAGGGGTCCCCGCTAGTGACAAGGCGTAATTCTACTGCCACTGCCATGGTGACTGAACAGAAGGCAGGAACCATTCAACCACAGCAGCCGTCACTGCCAATGGCCGCTCCACTGCGGCCCCCCCAGGCTGGGGCACACACGCCTCTGGCACCCCAGCAAGGCCTGGCACCTCAACAGCAGTCTCCAAAGCAACAACAGCCCCAGGTCCAGTACTACCAACACCTGCTCCAACCCATTGGATCACAGCAGACTCCACCCCAGCCTCGGGCACCTGGGAAATGGGTACATGGCTCATCTCAGCAGCCAGCACCGCCCATGGCAGCGGGTCTGTCTCCTCTTGGTCAGTGGCCTGGCATATCTGATCTCAGCTCTGACTTGTACAGCTTGGGCCTAGTGAGCAGCTATATGGACAATATGATGTCAGAAGTTTTGGGACAGAAGCCACAGGGACCTAGGAATAACACCTGGCCAAACCGTGACCAAAGTGATGGAGTCTTTGGAATGCTGGGAGAGATTTTGCCTTTTGATCCTGCAGGTAGGTGAGGCCTTCCCACTGCTCACCCCATTTAAAGATACAACACAGTCCCTGATGAAATCTGAGAGGCTTATCTGCTACAAGCTTTATGAAGGTACACTACATGTGTGTACTAGTGTGTTCTACTAGTAAGCACCGCCCCTGCCCCTTAGCTGTCTTTAGGACCTTCTGTCTGTCTGCTGTCAAGTGCAGGGAGATGTAGCAAGAACGAGAAGCAGACTGGGGAGGTAGCTGAGAAGGTAAGGCCCCATGTAGCCTTGGCTGCTGTGGAACTCGCTCTGTAGACCAGGCTGGCCTCGAATTCACAGAGACCACCTTGAAATCACTTGCCTCTGCCTCCCGAGTGCTGGGATTAAAGGTTCACCACTGCATGGCAAGAGCCCCGATTTTGTAATCCTATTATTTTATTTTATTTTTTACTTTTTCTGGTACTGGGGATTGAACCCAGGGCCTCTCACATGGTAAGCAAGCACTCCACCACTGAGCCATATACCCAGCCTGTCTTTCATTTTTTAAATTTTGAAACAGAGTCTCAGTAATTTGCCAGGTTGACCTCAGATTTACTCTGTAGCCATGATAGGTTTTCAATTTGGAACCTTGGGCTAGAAAGCTGGCTTAGTGGTTAAGAGCACCAGCTACTCTTGCAGAGGACCTGGGTTCACTTCCTCTTCTGGTCTGAGTGGGTGCTGTGTGCATGTGCACAGACATACATGCAGGCGAAACAAATACATGTTTTTAAAAAGAGAAATTAAGGCAGGTGTGATGGTGTACACCTTTAACCCAAGCATTGGGGAGGCAGAGGCAGGTCTCTGAGTTGAGGCCATCCTGGGCTATAGTGAGAACCTATCAAAAAAAGAAAGAAATGAAATTTGATGGAAGATACTAGCATTTCTTTTCTTCTCTCTCTCTCTCTCTCTCTCTCTCTCTCTCTCTCTCTCTCTCCCCCTCCCCCCCCCTCCCTCCCTCCCTCTCCCTCTCTCTCCTCCTCTCTCCCCCCCCCCTCTCTCTCCAGAATTTCTCTGTGTAGTAGACCAGACTAGCCTCAAACTCACAGAGATCTGCCTGCCTCCGCCTCCCAAATGCTAGGATTAAAAGGCATTCGCCAACACTGCCTAGCCAACACTAACATTTCTTTTGTTTTTCTTTTTGTCCACTTGGCTCATTATGCCATTTTCAAAGGTGTGTCCTTGAGCATTTTGCTCACAGCTACCTCTTTTGTCCCTCCCTCGCACTGGTCCTTTCCTTCTCCCAAACAGGCATCTTAACAGTCTCTGCCAACCTGAAGGTTCACAATGTGCAGGTGGGTTCACATTTCATTTAGTATTCCTATCTTTCGGGTTGTTTTTTTTTTCCTTCTGTTCTGGAGAGGCATCCCAGGTCCTCGTGCATGTTAGGCAGACCCTCTCTCTACACCTGGACCATATCCCTGGCCCCACCTATTACCTTCTTGTTGGTAATAGGCCTCTGTTCTGGTTTGGGTTTGTTTTGTTTTGCTGCCCTGCACATCACTGTTCAGTCCTGTGCAGAGTGTTCAGCTGTATCTTAATGCATTCTGAAATTTGGTCTTTGTCACACTGAACAGACAAGTCTGCTGCCCAGCACTCAAGAAAATAGTCCACTATGTGGCTTTGTTAAATTCCATGATGTAGTTTGTCAAAAATCATGTGATTCTCTTAAGTTGTTAAATACTGCAAATTCACAGTAGTAAGACATTGGAAATTTTAAGTCAGTTCATAGAGATGGCTCAGCTGTTGTGAGTATCTTTTGCTCTTCCAGAAGACGTGAGTTTAGTTTCTAAAGTTCTACACCTCTGTAACTCTAGCTCCTGAGGATCCAGTGCCATTGGCTAGCTTCCAGATGCCCACCAGGGCATGCACACACACACACACATTAAAGATTCTTCTGAGTTTTTATGTGTGTGAATGGTTTGCCTGTGTATATGGGTGTGCACCGTGTGCATGCCTGGTGCCTGCAGAAGTTAGACGAGGGCTTCAGGTTCCCTGGGACTAGAGTTATAGACAGCTATTGGTGAAAGAGCTGCAATAGCTGTGAGCCACGTACATGTGGGTGCCTGGACGTGAATCCAGGGCCTCTACAAAAGCAACAAAGGTTCTTAACCATGAGCTATGGCTCCAGTCTCACACTCACACAAATTTTTGAAAAATAAATTTTAGATTTATTTTTTGTTTTGTTTTGAGAAGGTCTCAGTATGTAGCCTTGGCTGGTTTGAAACTCACTCTGTAGACCAGGCTGGCCTTGAACTCACTGAGATCCACCTATCTCTGCCTTCTGATTGCTGGGATTAAAGGCGTGAGCCACCATGTCCAGTGTAGATTTTTTATGTATATGAATGTGCACATGAGCATCTGGGAATTATGGATGGTTGTGAGCCATCATGTGGGTGTTGGGAATTGAACCAAGGCCTTCTGCAAGAGCAACAAGTACTCTTACTTGCTCAGTCATCTTTCCAGCCCCTGAAATTTTTTAATGAATTCCTATTTGTGTTTAAAAAAAAAAAAATATTTTTGGAGCTGGGCCGAGTGGTGCACATCTTTAATCCCAATACCCAAGAGGCAGAGGCAGGTGGATCTCTCTTGAGTTCAAGGCCAGCCGGGTCTACAGAGCAAGTGCCAGGACAGCCAGGACTGTTACACAGAAAAACCATGTCTTGAAAAACAAACAAACAAACAAACAAAAACCCAGTTAGCTTTGGGAGACTGAGTCAGGGGTTCACTGAGAGTTCCAGGCCAGTCTGTGCTATGTAGTCCTTTGTGGGCACATAGCAAGATCTTTTCTCAAGAAGCAAAACCAAAAGTAGCTGTGGACAGTTCAGAGCTTCGTCCTTTGTCCTCTCTTCACACCCAGCCTAGCATAACTCCTGCTGACAGCCCCACACACGCCAACCCCAGCCTCAGACCTGTGTGCTCTAAGCTCTGTCTTGTGCAGGGAGTAGCCATAGCCTGCAACCAACTTTACATATGTTCTGTGTGTACAACAGCTCGTCCTTGGAGGGGAAGAAAGGAAGAGGTCAGTTTGGCCTTAAACCCCGATTTTTCCTGTCTCTACACAGTGGGCTCAGACCCGGAATTTGCACGCTACGTGGCCGGAGTGAGCCAGGCAATGCAGCAGAAGCGGCAAGCCCAGCATGGCCGCCGGCCGGGCAATCCCCGGGGCAACTGGCCGCCCATGGACGATGCCCATCGGACCTGGCCTTTGCCAGAGTTCTTCACAGAAGGGTGAGTTCTGCCTACAGGAAGGAAGCCAACTTTGGATCTGGATGCCCCAGACAGCCTCAGTTAAAGGGGAGGCCCACTGGCTTCTCGTTTATGTTCACCGGGTAGTGAAAGTGTGAAGTGGCTAAATCTTCATGGGGTCAGATCCTAACATAGGATGCCAGGGGTATGATGTATCCACATAAATACACCTCTGTTATGAATGAGTACCGAAAGATAGCCTTTTGTAAATGCAGTACACATATATGAGGTTTTTAAAATATTTTTAAATTTAAAAAAAAATATTTTTTTTATCTCTTAAAAAATTGTAAAGACTGTGGAGGGGGGCTAAAAGAAAAAATTAAAAATATATAAATACTAACTTAGGAGTAAAGCAAGAGAAAACAAACAAGCCTTTTCCTTGTACAGTAGGGATCTTATTTAACAGTGTTTCATGTGGTCTTTCTGGTGAAAGAGCCTGGGTGTGAAACCCAAGAACTTGTGGAATGCTGTCGTTACAGCCCACAGAAGGCAAAGTAGGCCTGGGGTCAGTGGCTCTGTGGTAGAGTGCTTACCTAGCATGTGCAAGGCCCTGCACTCAATCCCCAGCCCAGCAAAAACCAAGGTGCATGCTCCAGTTCTAGTGCATTGGAAAGTCTTGGCGGTGGGACACGGTGGGACACACCTGTAATCCTGGCATGTGGGAGGTGGGCACAACTGTCGTGAATTCAAGGTAGCATGGACTACATAGCAAGTTCTCGGCCAGCCCGAGTTACTTTAGAGAAGCCTCATTTCAGAGGGAAAAAATAACCCAGTTGGAGAGGTGGTTCAGTGACTCAGAACCTACATGGTGGCTCACAACCATCTGTAACTTCAGTTCAGGGGAGTCGACCCTCCTCTTGTGGCTTCTGAGGGCACCTGCACACAGGTGGTGCACATACACTTACGCAGGCACGAATAAATACACCTTTAAGAGAGACTATGAATTTGTGTCTTATAGTACTTCTTGGTTAATAAGTCTGGATGGTGAAAGAGCATCCTCACTTTACTTTTCTCTAAAACCAATTGCATACCACCCACAGGGAAATAAAAGGAAGTAAAGACACTTTTAAAGAGAAAGGAAGAAATGTCAAGTTTTGCAGGGAGTGGCAGCAGAGTCTAATTGGTCTAGGAGTTGTGGTAAGGCTGTGGGAGGTCCATGACCAGTTTCTCTCCACTCTCAGGGACAGCCTGCACAGCGGCTGGTCAGGTGCTCAGGGAGATTCCGCCAGCTCCAGTGATGAGACCTCTTCGGCCAATGGGGATAGCCTCTTCTCCATGTTTTCAGGGCCTGACCTTGTGGCTGCTGTCAAACAGAGAAGGTAAGGAGATTGCTAAGCCAAGGACTGGAGAGTGGGACAGCCAGAACGTTGTTCCTGCCAGCTTGCCCTGTGACGGGGGACAGAGGCCTTGGAGGCACCTCCACGATGTATCTTCCACGAGGAAGGTGCTGGCCTGGGGTTGCAGAATCTGTGAGGGGCTGGTGGGACACTGGCAGTGTTCTGTGAGAGAAGGAGGTCACTCCTGTGGGGTCTGTACTGTCTAGAGGAGCTCTGGCACAGATATGCTGTATCTTGCCCCTTTAACTCAGCAATGTCAAACTAGCATGCTTTTATTGTTCTAGAATATTTTAATCTTTGACAGTTTTATGCATGTAAACAATGTATATTGGTCATATTCTATCACAAAGTATTTTTTTTTTAAGTCCCAAACATACCCAGTGTATGTTAAAGATTTTCAGTAACTATTGAGTAAATTCATGAGAAGCCAAAGCGGGTTACCTCAGAGAGCTGTGAAAACAGCCAGTGCTATCTCCATGCTGGCTGCTACTCCTGCCCACTTCCTGTAAGGGCTTTATAGGCATGCTGGCTCCTCCCATGTCACACTGACCTTGGTGGACCCAAGGCCTCCTCACCTAGACTGGGACCTAGAGACCAAGAGCAAGCACTTAGTCTGTCTGAGTCCCAACGATGAAGCCAACTGGTCACTGCTCTGAGCTCTTGATTATTTCAGGAAACACAGCAGCGGGGAGCAGGAGACCAGCACACTGCCCTCACCACCTCTTCTTACCACAGTGGAGGATGTGAACCAGGTACTGTGAGCTGGCTCGTGCTAAAGACCTTGAGCCTCAAAGTCACAAGGGGTCTCCTCTTGGTGGTGAATTATTTTCTCATAAATGGCGAGATATGGTCACCTCAGCTGGTACAGTCTTTTGTAGAGGAAGCTCTGCTGTATGTCTCATGTGAGAGCCACATGCCACACTCTCTGTTCAGATCAGTTAAATATGAGTAAGGGCTGAGGGAGCATGAGTGGTGGGAGGCCCTGTAAATACATACCCCAGCACTGTGGAAGTTGTACACATATCTCGGTGTTTCTGTGCAGACATACGAATTCACTTCCACAGTTGGGCTACGAGACTGTTGTGTGGGTTGTACAGGCATTGAGTGCTGATGTCACTGTAAGAACTTCCCTTGCACCAGGCTGTGGGGGGAGGGTGGGAGATCTGGGGGTGGGGTGGGGTGGGACACAATGACAACTTACCACAAATGGCACTAAGAACTCTTTTCTGTTCCCCAGGATAACAAAACCAAAACATGGCCACCCAAAGCACCGTGGCAGCACCCTTCCCCACTGCCCAGCACGCTGCCCAGCCCTGCTGCACCTCTCTATGGAGTCTCCAGTCCCGGCAGCCAGTGGAACGATACCATGCAGATGCTGCAGTCCCCTGTGTGGGCTGCAACCAGTGACTGCAGTACCACCTCCTTCACCTATGTGCAGACACCACCCCAGCCCCCACCTCCACCAGCACACAAGGCAGCACCCAAGGGCTTCAAGGCCTTCCCTGGGAAGGCTGAGCGCAGGCCAGCCTATTTGCCCCAGTACTGACCACAGCTAGCTTGTTGCCCATCAAAGCTGTTGGGGCAACTGTTCCCAGGGCTGAGTAGCTGATACTAGCCCCCAAAGGACCAGTGCACCCCTGTCCCAGGCACGGAAATGTTCCTTGGGTCAGAGGTGATTGGCAGCTCCTAGTCTTTAAAGCCTGATTTCTCAAACTTTGAAGGTAGCAGACCCCTGGGAGACAGCTGAAGATGGAGATTTCTGACACTCAGGGGGATGCTGGCAATCTGCATGCTTAACAAGCACCTCAGGTAATCCTGGTGCAGGTGGCCAGAGGCCACACTTGGAAAACACAGTCCGAAGGTTGTCAGTCCTGCATGTGGGAAAGGCATGAGGCCTGCAGGCTGAGAACAAAGCTGATCATTCTTTGAAACCCTCTTCTTGAACACACTGAGTGGGACCCACACCCGTCACTGATTTTATAGATACTTCTCATGTAGGTTTTCAGTTAAAAATGTCTCCTGCCTAAAACACAGTGGCTATCTTAAGACCCCAGGTACACTGGCTGGAGGCTAGCTCAGCGCTGGCTTCATTTAAGCTTATACAAGACACTGGTGATCAGAAGCGGCCACCTGGCTTCCCCTGGGTTGGTAGTTCCTCTGCTCAGAAGCGCCCAGGGGTGTAGGCTCACGTAATTTACAAGAGCAGGATTGGGGGGCCGCTCTCAGAGGCTGCTCCTGGCCACGCCATGGAACCATTTGGCCCACGTCGAGAGCAGAGTAAAGCTGCATCTGCTGCCCTCAGCTCCTTCACCATGACCAAGGCAGCACCCACACTCCCTGAAGGAAGGAACTGTGGGGAGGGGTTGCACCAAGACCCCCACACTCAGAACCACAGTGACATCTGCAAGCTGGCTCAAAAGACAAAGGAATTATGATGTAGACAGGAATTCAAAGTCTCTGTTTAGTCAGCAACAACAAAAAACCACCTCACTTTTAGTTAACGTGTGCCATTAAACAGATTTGGGGATATTTTCCAGCCAGAATGGATCCAGAAGAATTGAATGGTGCTTCAATTGAGAAATAATAATAAATATATCTATATAGAGTAGACATTTCCCACTATATATTAATTGAGGTTGCAGAAAGTTCTTTATATAAAACTTATTTAAAATTTTCATATTTCATCTTTGAAAATGTCTAATTGAGAAAAATCCATGATATTTTCTGGTATGAAAGTTTGACAGTATTAATTTTTTTTATATTTTCTTAAATCATTAAACCATTTTAATATATGTTAACTACTAATAAATGGTTTATTCTTTCTAACTCCATGTAAGCTTTTCCAACAAAGATTGTAATAACACATTTATGTTCTCATTTTTCTACAGATAAATTTATATTTAAAAATACCAAAAAGAATCTATGTATACACACACCATCCACACGCACACACAGTTCACACACAAGAATACTATTGAGGACCTGTCTGCCGGGTCAGGTCTGAGCCCTGTGTTTTCAGTACTGTGTCTCCAAGCTGCTGGAGGCCCTGGCTGTTGTCATTTGTGCTGTGTGGGGGTGCCACTTCTGCCTGTACTGACGATCCTTCACCTCACCATGTTTACAGAGAACTATTTTGTACATAGAGTTCCCCAGGCACGTACTTTACACCAGCCCTGTGTGGCTGCTGTCTGTGTTAGCTGTCACAGTGTGCACACTAATCTGTTCAGAGTTCCTTGTGGCTGTTTTACTTGTAAAAACTTTGTATTTCCTTCAGTAATGTGTCCACAGTGCCCTGTGTTTCGAGTTCTATTCCCCTGCAGTACTCATTTTCATAGTGCCTCCCTGAAGACCTCACCCTGGGCCAAGGTCCCTCCTTGGTGCCCCAGCACAGGTGACACTAACTGTCACCTCTGGTCTGTTTTTCTCTATTAAGGAAGACATTTGTCTCCATGGCTGTGAGACCGTGTGAAGCAGTTTGTGTAGTCTCCACATAGGTGCTGTTGCCAGCACCGCCTTGCCCTGAACAATGGTAATCCCAGGTGCTGCGCTTGGCAGAGGCGTCTCGCCAAAGCGCATGTATGTGCGCGTGAGTGTGTCCTCAGCACGGCCAACGCATGGCTGCCTTGCTCGGCATCAGCAGGACATCATGTGAATAGTTGTGACCTTCCAAACTGGAACTCGACATTTTGTATCTTACTTTTAAAGCTCCTATAAGTAAATAACTATTGGCTTTATTAAAATATACATTTAATAATACTCTGTATCTTATTTAAAATTAACTGCAGTGGACACATGTCAGAAGCAATAACTCACTTGGTAGAGCTGTGCAGGAACCGGTTTCCAGGTCAGCTTGTCCTCTGAGTCTCAGACCTCTCAAGGGATGGGATCGCACAGGCAGGGAGCAGGTCAGCCGGCTGCAGCCCCCAAGGTCATTGGCCTCTCTAAGGTCAACTGGCTGAAGCCTCTGCATGGGCAGGTGACGACTAGAAGAGTGTGGACTCTTTCTGGAGTTGGTCATAGCACCCTCCTCAAGCAGGATGCTATGACCTATCCCAACAGCCTGTCTAAGGAGCAAACCCAGGAATGATGGGTTTTCTGCCCTGTGCCTCTCAGTAAACTCATCTGTAATCTTCGCCTTTTAGAGGTAGATACAAGAGGCTCAGTGCAAGGCCGGCCTGGGATACATAAGACCCTGTCTCAGACAAAAACACCATAGAGGTAATTGGGTTGTACTTCAGTGGTGGAACACAGCTTAGCAAGCCCAAGGCCCTGAGTTGAGTACCCAGTGCTAGTAAGTAAACAACCAGCAGGAAGACAGACAGACGACTTACTGTGCTCCTGTTTGGCTTCTGTGCCCAGTACTGTTAGCTACTTCCGTTTATGTCAGTGGTTAAGAAAGAAAGGAGCTGGCCAGGCGGTGGTGGTGCACGCCTTTAATCCCAGCACTCGGGAGGCAGAGCCAGGCGGATCTCTGTGAGTTCGAGGCCAGCCTGGGCTACCAAGTGAGTTCCAGGAAAAGGCACAAAGCTACACAGAGAAACCCTGTCTCAAAAAACAAACAAACAAACAAAAAAAAAAAAAAGCATGGTAGCCCTACCATGTCCTGGATGGGCTGGGATGGAAGCAGAGATGTTATTCCCTGACCTCCTGGAGGACTTGGGTGGCCTCAGCCAGTGTGAGGAATGGAGGAGCACACCAGCAGTTGAGATCCTTAGGAGGCTTGGGAGCTTCCTTTCCCTCCGTGGGAATTCCTGCATCTTACCAGCCATGGGTTTAGCCTGTTGTGCTGTGTAGGCCACTCCTGCCATCTACCTGATCCTGGAACAAAGGAGAAGTAACCTGGGGTTCAGCTCCATGACTGTCAAGAGGCCATGGAGATGGGCAGCATGACCGGAGCCCAGGGAACAAGGCTGTCTGGCTTGGGTCCTGGATTTGACCTTACAGCTGGACTTAAAATTCAATCACAGCTCCAGCGGGAGTGTGTGTGCTCTTGTGCTGGTTACCCGGTTGGGAATGTAGGCCTAGGTGACAGGAAGGACTGTCTCAGGAGTGTCAAGCTCATTTCCCAAGGGGTCAGGCCCTTGCTAGAAGGCCACATTGCATGCAGATTGGTGCAGTTCTTATTTTTGTCCTACAGGGGAGACAACGCAGTTTTTCTCGTCCTTGGTAAGAGTACCAACAACCAATCTAGAAACTTCATTAAGTAAATCATCACGTCCTTTTAAGAGTATCCTCAAGTGTACCATATCCCTTTATGTCACAGCCATTAGGCCTTCTTCCCGGACAGCATCAGGCTTCCCGAGGCACCCATTTTACCCTGTGGCTCTAATGAAGTGGTTCTCAAACTGTTGGTCGTGACCCCCTGTGGAACCAATGACCTTTTCACAAGGGTCACCTAAGACCATGGGAAAACAGATATTTACATTACAATTCATAGCCGTAACAGAACTAGTTATGAAGTAGCAAAGGAAATAGGGCTGGAGAGATGGCTCAGCGATTAAGAGCACTGACTGCTCTTCCAGAGGTCCTGAGTTCAATTCCCAGCACCAACATGGCAGCTAACAACTGTCTGTTAACTCCAAGATCTGACACCCTCACACAGACATACATACAGGCAAAACACCAATGTATACAAAATAATTAATTTTTTTAAAAAAGATAAAAAATAATTTTAGGATGTGTGGGGGTCACCATAACACGAGGATCTGTATTGGGGGTTGCAGCATTAGGAAGGTGGAGAACCACTGGTCTAAGGGCTGCTTAAGTCTCAGTCTTTGCTTACCATTACAGCACGCAGCAGCACTGCCCAGGAATTTGGGGTTTCCATTTGCTCTCCAGTAGAAGGCCCCAGGAGAGCTAAGACTGATCCTATTAGGACCACAATTCCAGACCCTTGTCAGGCAATGTGTGGCAGATGAAAGGTGTTGCTGGGGCCAGGACTAATTCTAATGTAGAGCGAAAAATCAGACCTGACATAAGGCTCTCGACTGGGTTCAAGAATTGTTCACCAGAATTCTATCTGAACTGGAAGAGGAATTATCATTGGGAGCGTCCCGTAAGAATTATGTACCCTGTTTTATGTTTGTTTTTAATGAGTGGGCTCACACTGTAGCCCAGGCTAGACTAGATACCCACTATATAGCCCAGGCTGGCATCAAACACGTCTGCCTCAGCCTCACTGAGACCACAGGCGTTAACCCGCCACGCCCTCTTGCCTCACGCATTATTCCTGGAGAGCGCGTGTGCACATCCTCCTCACCCGGGGCATGCACACGCAGTGTATTTCAACCATCCCAGACGTGCAAATGCAGGCGTTTCCTAAGTCTCTCACCACGCAGCTCCGACCCTGGACCCGCACATGCGCAATATGCACACGAGCTCGCCCTGCCCCCTCCCTGGACGTGCAAGCCTACACGCAGCTAGCCTAGGTACTGCGTGTGCTCGCGACCTCCAAGCGCACGGCCTCGCGCCCGCCCGGGACGCAGAATGTGCGTGCGCGTGCCCGGAGCTCCGCCCAGCCCAGGGAGGCGCGCTCCGCAGACTTCGCCGCCCGGTGACTCAGCATCTCCGGCGGCTCGGCAGCTCGGAACCGCTCGCTGACCTGTAGTGGTGCGCTCCCGGTTCCCGCCTCCCGCCGGCGTGTTCCACTCAGCCCCTACCGCATCCGACAACTCCACTGCTAACCCTTGTCGGGCAGACTCTTATCAAGGCATGATCTGGCCAGATGCCCTTGCCTCAGTTTCCCCATCTTTAGGACGCGGCTCTTCTTTGCTTCCCACCAAAGGCTGGGAAGTGCCAGCTTCACAAAATTCAAGGGCTTTTCCCAGGGCTGCGTTGTAGAGAATTTCGACCCTCCCTGGATTTACTAAACCTGTCTCTACTGTCAAATCCTCTTACGATCCGGTCATCTTGCTGAAGGCACTTGAGACTGGTTTGAGCAGGCTCCCATGCACTTTCTGGGCCAGGTTTTCTACAGTTGTGCTTAATCCCTGTTGTGTGGGCATGATCCCAAGAGCGTTCTCTGGCCCAGAGTCCTGTCGCTCCCGACTGAAGTCTTTACTCTGGTTTGCGGTGCTTGGCATAAAATACCTTGGCAGTTACGGTGGGAAGAGAAGACAGGACGCCTTAAACACCCACACACACAGTATATTTAGTTTTTGAGACAGGTCCTTATGTAGCCCCGCCTGTCCTGAGTTTGCAATGTAGACCAGGCTGTCCTCGAACTCTTAGAGTGCTGGGATTAAAGGCTGCGCCACCATGTGCGGTTCCTATCAGATCTTTTTTAAAAGGTTTAAGTGTGGTGAGGAGCAAGTAGGTGAAACACCCCTAAAATCTTTGGAGAGATTTGTGGTTGTTACCCACGTGTAACTCCAGCGTCCCGAAAGCTCAGGCTTCATCTTTTCTTTTTCCTTTGTCTTTTCTTTCTTTTGGGGGGGTGGGGGGTGGGGTTTCGAGACAAGGTGTAACCCTGGCTGTCCTGAACTCACTTTGTAGACCAGGCAGGCCTCAGAACTCACTACATCTTAAAAAAAAAAAAAGTTGCAAAGGACAACTCAAAACAACATAGAGACAAAGGCGAGCCTGTCTCTAGGGGTCATTCTCTTGTTTCTCTTCAAACTGACGATCAGAGCGGGAGATGGCTCAGCAGGGCAGCCAGTTGGTCCTGAGCACATTCGCCTCTGATTATTCCTTGGAACAGGAAGAGAAAGGGCAGAAGGAAAGCCTCAGCAGCCGTCATCAAAAGTGCCTCCTACAAAAGGGGAGCCTTTGGACGCCGCCGGGCCAGAGTCTGAGGACCCCGGACAGCCACAGCCGAGACTGGCATTCTTGTTAGTTGAGGTTCAGGGTGGGAGTGAGTGCTGTTGCAGTGGAGTGTGTACATGGAGGCTAGAGGACAACGTTGAGTACTGTTCCTTAGGTCTGCTGCCCACCGTTTTACTTTTAATTACACTTGTTTATTCGAAGGGGTGTGCCACAGTGTGCCTGTGGCCAAAGGACAAGGAGTTAGTTCTTTTCTATTATGTGAGTTCCAGGGATCAAACTTAGGTTATCAGCCTTGGCCTTGGCTGATGAGGTATCTTGCCAGCTTACCGCCCCCCCCCTCCTTTTTTTTCTTCAGGTTAGGCTCATGCTATGTAGCTCTGGCAGTCCTGGAACTCAGTATGCAGTATGTGTATATATGTAGTAGTAGTAGTTATGGCTGGCCTCAAACTCAGATATCTGCCTGCCTCTGCCTCCTGAGTGCTGAAGTAAAGGTGTGCCACCACTGCCCAGCTTAGTAATATATTTTATTCTTTTTCTTTTTTTAAGATATATTTCTTTCTTATGTAGTGTTCTGCCTGCATGTGTGCCTACAGTCCAGAAGAGGGCGCCAGATCTCATTACAGATGGTTGTGAACCACCATGTGGTTGCTGGGAATTGAACTCATGACCTCTGGAAGAACAGCCAGTGCTCTTAACCTCTGAACTATCTCTCCAGCCCCCATTTTATTCATTTTCAGCTTCTTTTTTGAGGAAGGGTCTATCGGTGAGACCTGGGGATTACCACTGAGGCTGGCTGGCCATTGGACCTTAGAATCCTCCTGTCCCTGAGTCCCTGGCATTGAGACTGCAAGAGGCCACCATGTGCAGCTTTTTACATGGGCTCTGGTGAGTAAATATGTCCTCATCTCCGAGGCAAGTGCTTTACTGAACTCTCTCCTCAGTTCCTGTTTTTCGTCTTTCAGACATGCTGACTTCAAACATGTTGCTGATAC